TTTAAGGTCAATAAAATGGTTAAGTTGAAGTATATAAAGATTTTTGTAGATTGAGATTTTAGAAATTGGAATTTGAAGTTCAATAAGTATTTCTATAATCTTTAGAAATTTATCAATTAGATTGAAGTGAAATTTTTTTATATGAATATTAGACTTAATTTTTAATGTTTAGATGAAATTTTATAGAAATTCAACAATTTTAGAAGGAGATATTGGTACTAAAAATTCAGTATTTAGATTGGAGTAGGAAGCTACTTTATACTTGATTGAATTAACTTGCATTTATTTTAATTGATAAGTGTGATTCATTTTATCTTTCTTTTGCTTATTCATAATTAAGACATTAAGAAGTGTACAAAATTTGAATCAATATTAGCAATTTGATTATTAGTTATTGAGGTTCTATTTTATTATAAGATTTGTTAAGAGTTTATTTAAGATTTAGGATTTGATTAGGATTTGCTTAAGATTTAGCTTAGAACTTATTTATGATTTTATTAGGATTTCATTAGGATTTGATGTAGAATTTGGTTAAGATTCAATTAAAATTTCAATCAAGATTTGATCTAAGATTTGATTAAGATTCAATTAAAATTATATTAAGATTTTTATTTTTAGTATTTCTTTAAGATTCTTTATATTTTTTTATAATTTCTTTTAAATTTATTTTAATAAGTTAAAATTTGATTGGATTATTAAAAATTACTTGAAGTTTATTTAAGGATCTCTTTTAGACTTGGTAGAATTATTGTTGCATTGTTACTTACCTTCTACAGCTAAGTACCAAATGTATTTTTAAGCAAAAATACTTATAATACAATAATATAGAATATGGGATGGATTTTAATAGATTTTGATAGATGTAATTGACAAGCAATAAGATTAACTTGTTGAAAAATAAAAAATAAACTAAGTCTACAATAATCCAACTTATTACAAAGATAATTAGTCTTAATATTGTAACAAAATAACTATACCTTATTGCCAATGTAGAATTAAAGTTGCTTCTTGCAATAGGCATTAGTATTGATCTTTTGTTATTCTTGAGTTTCTTTTAATTTTATCTTTATTATTGTATGTAGGTTAGATAAATAATTTTTAAAATCTTTTGCCATAAGATTATCAACTTTTGAGAAGTTAAAAGTATTTAATTGTAGATGATAACTATAATTAGTAAAAAAATATTTATTACATAGAAGAATATATCATATTATTATAAGCAAACTCTACTAATAGCAAAAGAATTTTCCAATCATTTTATTAGTAATTGATATTACATCTTAAATACTACTCTAAAACTTAGTTTACAAGCTTTGTCTATCTATTAGTTTTTAGATAAAAGGTTGAAGATAGTTTTATATCCATTTTTAAAATCTTAAAAAATGGTTCTCTAAAATCTTGATACAAATTGAGTCCTTCTAGTCAATATAATATCCTTAAGCAGTCCATAATAGTGATAGATGTTGTTAAGGAAAAGCTTTGCTAGTTCTTCAGATTTGATAAATTTTGTAGATAGTATAAAATGTATTATTTTGATAAAATAATCTACTATCACAATTATAGAATAATACAAATTTGGAATTGGAAGATTTTTAATAAAATCCATAAAAACAAAAGACCATGATTATTTTGAAATAAATAATAGCTAAATAAGTCTATAAGATTGATGATAAGGAATTTTTTTATCTTAAACAAATATCACATGATTGAACAAAATCTTTAATTGCCTTGTACATTTGAGGCCACTAAAAATCTCTAAATATTAGTTCCAAAGTCTTATTGTATCCAAAATATTCAATTGCTAGAAAGTTGTGATGGGCTTGAAGAATATATAATCATATTTTATATTTTAGAATATATAATTATATCTTAAAATAGAATAGATTATTTTTAAATTCAAAATTAAAAATATTATGAGATTTAAAAAATATTCTTAATATTATAAATAAGAGGATTAGAGGATATATTTAATTAAACTTGCTTGAAAAATGTTGAATCAATAATCAATGTTGATTGCATTGTTTAAAGATGAAAATGCTGTGGCTTCAAGAAAATTGTTCTTTGTTGATTAAAAGCTATATTTTCTTCTTTTAGTACAAGATAAGAATGTTTTAAAAGAATCTTTGGCAAACCTTATTTTTTTTTCGGGTCAATAAGTAAACTTGAAATCAAATCCGAATAAAAACTTATTCCAATAGATTTGGCAATGTTTTGAAATACATTCCAACATAAATTACTTTAGATTCTTCTTATTCATACATATGATATTATATTACATGTTGTCTTGTTTGAAAATGTATTATGCACCTGATTGTAGAAGGTAAATTTTTGTTTTACAAATAATCAAGAAACCTTAATAGGTTTTATCCATATAAAAAAATACAATTCAAATTTTAATTTAAAAGTACTTAAAACCAATAAAAAGTGCTCAAAAACACTCTTCTTAGTAATCTCAATAATGCACAAATTCCAATTGCCATATTACTTTCATAATTAGAAAATTTTGATTTTTCTTTGAAAACCTTAACTCTAATCAATGAGTTTTAGGAAGCTGTAATTTTTAACCTAACCATCCACTTAGTAAAAAATTTTGCATACAAATGCTACTATAAGTCTTCTACATGTTTTAAAAAAATTTAGCTCAATTCAACTTATAGATTGTGAAAAATGTCCAAAAAACCAAGTTGATGTCACTTGGCCACCAACTCAAAAAGTAATACAAATATTTGAGTGGTGATTTCTCTTTCTGCAATTGTTACCTTTAATTCAAAATTGGTGTATAGCTTGATCTTTGAGTTTTCTAATATCATGCTAATTTTTTCCTTGTTTCAACAAGTAGATCTTCAAATATCATAGAAACTTTATTCAATGTCAAACTGCCAACTTTTGATATGTCTTATATCAAAAATTAGATATCTTCCAACCGGTGTTGTTTTTTCTTTTCGAAGAATTTTTTAATTGTTAATCTTTAAAAATAATGAAGTAGCTAAAAGTATTTCAGGTTTTGACTTGAAAAAATAATGGTTCTGAACTTGTTGATAAAGTGATAAGTAAATTTTTAGTTTTTTATATGTATCAACTTCCTCTAAATATACCTTGTAGAAAATTTATTGATTTTAGAGGATTCATTATTTTTTCAATTTTTTCTTCATAGGAAAATAAAAAAATAATAAAATAATATTATTAGAGATTATTCATACAAGATTTGAAATGAATATAAAAATGTACAATAAAATATTAGATATTCATACATATGGGATCAAATGTGTGGAAAAGTTAGTGCATGTGAAAAAGTCAAAACATGTGTAAATAAGTTGGAATGTCTATAAATCGAAAAGAGTAAAATATATAGGTATATTAATAATATTTATTTTAAGACACCACAAATACGTTAACAAGATTATTATTTGTTTATTCTTAAATAATATTGACATACATATATAACTTTTATTAAATATAATGCATTTTTTATTATGAGCAATTAATATCATATTGCCAATTGACAAATTTTAGTCATTATTTGGTAGAAATAACATACAACTATTGTAGCCTATTGTATTATTTTTGTGATTGAACAAGACAAGTGCCTTTGAGCCACTAGGTCTATTCTTTAAAATGAAATAAAACAATATTATATTATATTTATTTACATGTATCTTATATATATTTATATATTTATATATAATTAAAAATAAAATTTTAACATTGCTTCTATTTACAAACTTGTCATTAAAAATAGAACAAATAAATTAATTATTATAACAAATATTATTTTTTTAAAATATTATTTCTATAAAGAAAAATTTGATCAAATCTTTTGAATTTTTTATAGAAACATTTAGATTCTTAATGCAATTTTTTGGAATGTTGTTGAAATAGATTAAGCTAAGTTTTATAAAATTTTAAATCTTAAATAATAAAAAAATATGTGTAACTAGGGTGTTGCTAATACCATTGCAATTTTTTCTATTGCAACGACAACTTGCCATCTACCACATGCCATTCTAATTTTTCCTAATGCTACTACAAGCTGCCCTAAACTTGTGTTGCACACCACAATGCACATAATGAAATATTACTAATGTACACCACATTGAATAAAATATATATTCTTTATAATTATGTATTTTAATATTCCATAAAATCTATAGTGACAAGCAACATAAGTTTAGGGCAGCTTTTGGTGGCAATAGCAAAAACTATGGTGATATTAGCAACACCCTATAATTATATATATATATATATATGTATATGGAGTTGTTAACTCATAACACTCACAAGAATAGGAGATGGGGGATTGGAGACAAAATTAATCATGAGAATCCAAAGGGGTGCTATATTAACAACATGGAGGTGTTGAGTTAACAACTTACTATATATTTATATAGATCCTATCAATACAAAAAATTTGAAAAATAAAACTCAAATTTGAACTAATTACAAATATATCAAATTTTATTCAACTTATACATTATCTTGTGTCACAATATAGTTATCTTCTGAGTGTTTAATTGTTTTATTCTTGCTGTTTGATTTTATGGCACACAACTATCAAGTTGTGTAGTGAAACATTAAACCATATTCCTAAGAAGTCTCCATTTCAGAATGTTTAGTACATGGGCTTAGCAAAACTAGCAGACACTCTAAATCAGCATTGGATATGCTGTGTTTAAAAATTCATAATTTCATTTAATAATTGGAACTTAAACTGGTAAAAAAATCCAAATTAAGATTTGTTTGGCTCAAAAACTACCATAAAGCTTTTACTGAAGGTGCTTACAACACTACAATTAGTAATTCTAATTAAACTATGGTGAGAACCATAAATAAACACATGCAGAAATAAAAGTATTTGTATCCTAAACACAGTAAAATATATCGTCTCCTTACCCTGTTAAGATTTTTATTTTTATTTTTATTTTTTATATGCAAGTGTTTCTGAGACATTTGAGGTTCTCCTCTTTGTATTTATATGCACATACACATATATGTTACGAATGCACTGTAAATAAATTTATACCCAGTGATTGATAACCTAGACAAAAAGAAGCGATACCAGAAGGGTCGCTAGTAATAACATAGGTATCTCCACCATGTACTTACACGAAACCTTCAAGGAAAAATTGTTTTTAAATACGAGTGAAACCACCATTGCTCAACGTGTGAAAATCTACATAGGCAATTAGCAGTTCTCAAGCATGACAGCAAAAAATGGCACCAACTACCAATATCCTAAACATCACTTTGAGTGTTCGCTGCTACTTTCAAAGAATGCTGGACCAAAGCAGCAGTGAAATTAAGTGTTCACTCCAACCTCTCCCAGTCACCAACCATCCCTTGAACAGGACACACCCATTTGTGGAAGAATTCAAATGTTTGTGCAAGGCTGAACACAGTTTTTGAGAAAGGTAAAAATCAAAGAAACCATAAATATTCTTCAAAAACAGCAAAATCGTTTAGTAGGGAACCCGCCGATTCATCAGCAGCTCGCAGTCAACCTCTAGGCCTACGCAACTGCAGCTTGCTTCTCTTGAACTTTCATACCTGAGTCGCCATTCAAAGCAGCACGTCATTGGAATGTATAAGTTGACTACATATTAAGACATTTTCAGGCAGTCCAAACGTGCATACGCATGTGCATGTAGGATACAGGGGATAAAGTAGCATATGCAAATCAACACCAACGTAAATAGGAGATTGAAAAGGTGTCAAATCAAAAAACGTCTTAGTGCAGTGGTTGATCACAAACATGTACAATTGCCTCACAATACCGTGCATCTCAAGTATCACCCAAGCATCACATCATGCTCCTAACGTCACAATACGTCAAACAAAGGAGCATTCACTAATCTCACCTCCAAGCTTCCCATCTTTCGGCACGAAGCCAAGTCCATTTCCATTACTGTGCAATTCTTGTATCTCCTTCGCTGACACCACAGCCTCGCTCTCCCCACCTGCGGAAGCAAGAGCTCCTGCAACTGCTGCAGCATGTGCACCACCCATCTCTGAAGGCGGTGTGCTGCGAATCTTCTGCATCAGAGACCCATTCTCCGCCTGCAATCTCTTGCACTCCTCCGTAACCCGGCTCAACTCCGTCCGCAGGGCTATGTTCTCCACCGTCAGCGCATCCACTCGGGTGCCCAGCTCCTCACACTCCGCCTGCTTCCTCAGGCGCGACCTTCTGGCCGACTCTCGATTTGACTGCTTCCTCCTCTGTCGTTTCACCTCACGCTCGTCCGTCAGCCACATCTCTGTCGGTGGAGCGCTCGTCGATGGGCTTCCAGACGCCTGCTTCCCTCCCTTTGTCTGTGGGAGTGACCCTGCACTCCAATAGTCTAAGCTCATATCCAAGCTTCCTCCTGGCCCTGGGGTACCGACCGGAGGTGGTGGGACACCCGATACAGAACCCGGGGGTGGCATGTAAGGTGGCCCCCCAACGGCCTCCATTGCCATTTGCTCAAAACTCCGCTTGCCTCCCAACAAGTTCTGTGCATTCTCCTCTCTGCTCGCATCCGTGGAACCACCCTCATCACTTCCCGTTTCACCATTGTGTTCTCCTTCTTCGCCATTGCTCGCGCTTTGTGACACCCCATTCCCTTTGCCTTTGCCTCCGCTCCCACTGACCTTCAAGAGCTGTAGACTGCCTTTGCTACCCTTGGATCTTTTCATAGTGGAAGCCTTCGCACCTTCGCCACTCTTGGCCTCTATTTTTCCGTCTGCTCCCTGCTCAATCCCAGTCATTCCTTCCGCCACCTGAGCCCCGTACTGCCCGTACATAGGGTGTCCATACATTCCTCCAGGTGGGTACATGGCACCATAGGAAGGGTGAGGCCCTCCGTATGGAGGTGGCATCATGGGCTGCCCTCCCCACATGTAGGGGTGGGGAAACCCACCTGCAGGTGGCTGAGCTCCCGCCTGATAGTATGCCTGAAAAGCTGCCAGCCATTCGTTGTAGCCAGTAGCTCCCGCTTGGGAGATGGGCTCATGAGACGCAATGGGAATCGGAGAGGTCGTGGTAGCTGGAGGGGGAGGGGCACTGCTGGTCTTAGAAGCCTTAGAGATAGCTGGCGAAGCTGCTGCCATCTCCCCTGCTGCTCCCATCGCTCGTCTGCGTCTTCAAATCTCGAGAGACTCCAAAACTGTTCCCCAAATTATGAAACCCTTGCTTGCGAAATTGATTATCACAAGAATCCTACTATCATGACGTCCAATCAAGGCCGACCATAAGATTAAAAACTTCGCAAGAAAAAAATTCTGTGACATAGGTCATCAGAGGAGCTTTATAGCATCATAGAAGACATCACTTCCGCGACTGACTACCTTTAATTTGCAGGAAAAGCCATTGGTATCGAAGTCACCCGGGGTCCTTTCATGTCGCCCTACTGCAGCCATGCCACCAACTTGCTGGACATTACCTCGCACAAGTGACTACCGCATTTGACCACCCTAGACCGCTCACGCACTAATCACGACATAGGTATTTTTTCGAAACTCTTCAGCTACGAAACGAACGCAGCTCAACAGTCGGTGTAATAACATCGTTGGTTTCAAAGTGATAGAGGCGGGGATCATAGACGCTTGATATCACGTGTGTATTCTTGATTACAAGAACTTCTACAACTCTTAAGCTTCGGCAACAAGAACTTCACCTCGCCATATTAATATCAAAGGTACTTATAGACAACATATCACCTGAGACATAACCCACCCGCGAAAATATCCACTTAGCCACAGCGTAATCCAGTAGAAACTAACGCGCACGACAGCATAAGGAGGAACCAAGAACTGGCAACACTACAGAAGAAGGTGAAATAAAAAAGAAAAGAAAAAAAGACACTCAGACAAGGTGACGCAATCACATACCTAAGAGATGCAGAGTTGGCAAGACTTGGAAGATGAAATGGCAGAGATGCATGCCAAGGCAGCAATACCAGAGCATGTGGAGCGGGGCTGGAGGGCCAAATGAGCCAGACAAGCCGCAGAAGAAGGAGGAGAACAGAAAAGGTAAAGGAACCTCCACGTCCTCCCCCCCGTCCCGCCTCCCTCCCTCCTTCCCTCTCCCTTGAAAATCTACCTTGGCGCAACCCAAACCACCATCTCCTAGTCTAATTTCTCTCCCTCTATCTCGCGCTCTCTCTCGCGCTCTCGCTCTGAACTCTCCGAAATCAATGCAAGTTGCGAACACTCGAGGCTGCGCTCACCTGCAGAGGATGCCGCTGATTGTTCTTAGCGTCAAATGCATGAACGTCAATCAATCGCCGTCGTCGTCGTCGTCGACTCGTCGTCCAGCTTGACAGCCAAAAATTAACTCGCGCAGGGCGGCATCCACATCAACCAACTGCAGGTCCAACAAGGCAAGATGGCGATGATGCGAGGCTGACCACGGTGGAAAGCCTCCGCACTCCTTGGCCCTGCAACCCCCCCCCCCCCCGCTTGAGCGCTCCCAGCTGGATCACCCAAACCCTAGCCTCAGCGCCTCAAGGCCCTCCTCTGCCCTCCGATGCTCCCTCCCTCCGCTTCCCCTCCGTCCATTCCCCCTTTCCATTGTGCGACAGGAACGCCTCCGCCACCTGCGACTGATGTGGCGCTCTCGCATTCGCTACTTTTGATGACTGGGTTTGGCGCGTGTGACTACGTACTGGTTGAGTATTTATACTCTCTCTTCCTTCGTATCTTCGTATGCGCGTAAATGTTCATGTATGCAGCGTTCTTCAACTTTTGTGGGGAGCGGTTCAAGTCGTTCCCTTTGCCAGTCCTGTCCCCTTTTCATCAAATTAGAAACCTTGACATCGATTTGATATTTCATTAACCTAATTCATGCCTAACTTTATGATATAATCAAATTATAACCTATTCCTCTTGTTCTTCTAACCTTGTGTGGGCTGAGTTGTGTTGGAGTCTCTCCTTCTGCAACCAAAAGAGTAGTTGTGCAGGGTAGTTGTTTCGAGGGGTGTAGATCCTTCCTGTTCTAAGGGGAGGCTGGCTGTAAGGCATGCTCGGTGGTGATGGGGATTGAGATAGTTGACTCTTCTTCCGCCACATCCTCACTTTGCAAGTGCCAACTCATCACTTTCTGTTCCGAGCCCTGCCACCCTGTACACGCCACTCCACCAGCCAAGAACCCAGGGGAACAGTGAAATGACGTGGACGCCAAGTTGAGGGTGGGTGACTATAACCCCACTGCTGACTGTGTCATTCCCATGGCTTCACAGGGCGCCAAGTAGCCCCTTCGCAATTGTGATATAAAATACTCTTCATCTCATTTCTCTCTCTCGTTGCACGCTTTGCAAATCCCTTCAGGATTCTGTTTGCTATAAAGCTGCTATGCTGTTGACTCATTTTCTCACTTTCTTTCCTTCTTCCTTTCCAACAGCAACAATAATAATAGTAATTTTTTAAAAAATATATTTTTGTATGGTAGCTTGGACCACCATGAAAAATCATAGTGCACTTAGTGGCCATCAGGGGTAGCATTGTAAAACAGATATTGCTGCTGGAAAATTTCTGAAGTCCATGCTTGATCATTGAACCTAATTTAGTTTACAGAGGAAGAATTTAAAACACTGTAGATTTATAATGTGCCAATGGGCATATATATATATATATATATATATATATATATGTTTGAACAATTGTTTAATAAAAGAGTGTTTGTTTTGATATTTATACTCAAAAATCATCTAATGAATTAAAAATAATTATTGATAGAGAACATTTAAGTATATTGAATTATTTATGATTTTACATTTATAGGTTGTAGTTTTGTGAAAAGAAATATCTTTTAAAGGATGAATCTTGACAAAATGAATTCAATGAGATTGAAAGTGAGCTTTTGCATTCATTCTTGAAAATACATTAAAGGAATGAATTTTCAATTGATGTTTAATTACTTGCTTGTGAGGTTTTATAATAGGTTGAATTAGTCAATTGATAAGCTTTACTATTACATAAGCAACTCAAGGAAGAAGACACAATGAAGCTTTAGAAGTATTTAGCTTAATTGAGCTATTCAAGCCTTTGTTGCAAGTGGAATGTCAATTGTATTTGAGTATATAATAAGTTCAATCTTACACCAAGCATGTAGTTTGGTACATTTCTATCATTAGACCTCTTTCATAGAATAATAGTGATCTAGTATAAAGTGGAAAAATAAATTATATAGCTAAATTAGAATTAAGATTAGGTTTAAGATTAGATTTAAGATTTTAAAAACTTTATGTATACAATGATAGAAGTGCAATTGTATGTAGATTCAATGTCACCAACATACATATTTATTCTAATAATTACCTATGTGATTAAGTAAAAGTAGGTAAAAATTTATTAATTTCATGATATCTTTTTGAGAAGCTTCTTAGAAGCTTGACAAATGCAACTTTGACTTTACACATTTTTATAGTTAATTAATAGGTTAGAAACTTGGTCAATAAGTTAGCCACATATCATATATGTTGGTAGCTTGTGTAATAAATTAATTATGTGGTGCACATGTAGAAAACTTATCTTGTAAGTTAAGACATGTATCTAACAAAGTCAACACCTATTGGAGGTTTTGTAGAACATTGCTAAATAGCTCTTAATTGGATAGTATAAATAGAAATAAGAAAGAAGCTTTCTTCACTCTTGTCAAGAACTTTCTAGTCTTCTTGTCTTAAACAATAACCATTCTAGTTCAATATATTACCATCTTTGAATGACTTTCTAATCTTTTTGAATGACACAAAATTGTATTAAATTTTTTTCTTTGAGATTGTGTGAAGGCAGAGCTTGCTTATGCTTTCTTTGACCTAATGCAATCAAAAGACAATCAAGAGAGATTCAAAAGTATTCACGATAGAGATATACTTGAAACCAAATTGATTGTAGCTATAATATGTATAGATGAATATGTATCAATTCATCTTACAAGTTCAAAGGAAGATATATCATTACTTATAGAATATGCAAGAAGCAACATATGCTTCTTGGTACATATAAAAGACTTGGTAATAAAAATCAACTAGGCTTAGTGAAGCAATAGACTATATAGCTTCATAAACATACTATCGTATCATATTTTGTTAGAGGTGAGCAATTCAATCTTATCTTGTCAAAATGATTAACTATTCTTAAAGAACAAATTTGTGAGTTGATAAAGTTAGTATCATGCATATATCTATAATTACCTATCAAGGTCATAAACCTCAAAGTACTAAATGATCAATACAATCTTGTTTCATTCAAAAAATTAAAAAAAAAATCATTTAAAAATAATATAATATTAAACAAGAATGAATATTATCAAAGACAAGAAGATTAAAAAATCTTGAAAAAAGAATAAACACTAAAAAGCCATTGACAAGAGTAAAGAAGGCTTCACTCTTACCTCCATATATATTATCTAACTAGGAGCTATGTGGCAATGTCCTATAGGACCTCCAATACGTGTTGACTTTGCTAAATATATGTCTTAACTTGTAAGGTAAGTTTTCTATATGTGAGCCACATAATTAATTTGTTCTATAAGCTACCAATATGTGTGGCACATGGTTAATTTGTTGATCAAGTTTCTAACCTATCAATCAATTACAAATACATATAAAGTCAAAATTACATCTTTGAAGCTTTTAAGAAGCTTCTTTAGAAGATATTATGAAATTAATCTATATTTACTCACTTCTACATAATCATATAAATAAATATGTATATATATATATATGATAATACCTCCCCTTCTAGAGATGATTTCTACAAGGAGCAATCATCATCTTCTATAGATCTTTCTATTCTTCATCTTGATTTTAATAGATATCATTGATAAAATGCCTCAATCTTCTTTGTTGCATTTGTAAGATTCTTTGTTCACTCCTATGTGTGTTCATTAATATCATATTTGCATCAATAAATAAGATATTTCAATCTGTTTTGGTGACATCTTAAATCTAAGACTTCTTCTACCTTAAATTCTTGATTATTATCTACTTCTATAAGAAGAGGTGATATTTGTCTTCTTTTTGAGATATTTACAATATTATATGGCTTAAGGAGAGACACGTGGAATATGGGGTAGATCTTAATAGATACCAATAAATACAATTGATAAACAACAAGATTGACTTGTTCACAAATAGGAAAAGATTCAAGCTTACGACACTCCAATTAGTTCCAAGAAGCAGTAGTCATGATATTACAATGAAGTTATCATACCTTATCACCTATATTGAATTGTAGTAATTTCTTGCAATAGGCATCTACATTGATCTTTTGTTGTTCTTGAGCTTCCTTTAATTGTGCCTTGATTTTTACATGTAGCTTTAATAAATGATTTGTCAAATCTTCTTCCACAAGATTATCGATTTTTAAAAAGATAAAAATATCAAGTCCTTGATTATAACCATAATTGGCAAAAAAAAATATTTATTGAGTAGAATAATGCATCAAATTATTATACATAATCCTTGCTAATGAAAAAAGTATTGTATATTTATCTTAATGATAGTTGATAGTATACCTTAAATACTACTCTAAAATTTGATTCATTCGTTCCATTTGTCTATCAATTTGAGAATGAAAAGCCAAAAAGAGATTAATATCCACTTTTAAAATCTTTAAAAGGATTTTCCAAAATATGGATACAAATTGAGTCTTCCTATCGAATATAATATTTTTTAGCAATCTATGATAATAATAGATATTATTAAGAAAAAACTTAGATGTTTCTTCACATGTGATAGATTTTGTATATGATACAAAATATGCCATCTTGATAAAATGATCTACTATTACAAATATAAAATCATACAAATCTAAGACTAAAAGATCTATTATAAAATCTATAGAAATAAAAGACCATGGTTGTTTTGGAATAAGTAATAGCTGAAGAATTTTGTAAGTTCAATGACAAAGAGTTTTGAATCTTGAACAAATACCACATGATTGTATAATTAATTTTTACATTTAAAGCCACCAAAAATCTCTAGATATTAATTCTAAAGTATTATTGTATCTAAAATGTTTGACTATTGAAAATTCATGATGAACTTAAAGAATATGAAATCATGCTTTGGCTTTTGGAATATATATATATATATATATATATATTTAAATAAAGTAAATTATTCTTAAATTAAAATTTAGAAATATTATGATGCTTGAAATAATTATTTTTAATATTAAAAAAAAAGAAATTAGTAGACATATTTAATTGAACTTACTTAAGAAAGATTGAACTAATAGACAATGTTGATTTTATTGTTCAAAGGTGAAAATGATTCAACTTCAAAAAAATTATTTTTTATTGATCAAAAGATGCATCTTTTTCTTTTAATACAAGATAAAAACATCTAAAAAAGACATCTAATAAAATTGTTGTTTTTCAAGTTGATAAGTGATTTTGAAATTAAACTTTGATAAAGACATGTTT